ACTGCTAGTTGGTGTTCATGGATGCGCTCTGCAAGCCTTCTGGCTGTCTGTCCTACATAGTCCTTACACTGTATGTTGTAGATGACTCCTGTTTTTTCTTCTTGGGCTATGGGCAGTAAACAATACCCTACTCAAGGAACTACCAAAGGAAAAAACAAATGAAAACAAAACCCACACCCCCACCAACACTGGCAGGACGTGGCACTGTATATAAACAGAGAGCAAACCCCATTCCACTCTAGCACTGAAGATGCTACCTAGCTGGGTGATGAAACGTTTGCAAGAAAACAACCAAGCTCAGAGAACCCCAAGGACTCCACAGTTCTACCCTGAGCTATACATATTCTCTTCTATTGGAACTGAATATTGCTAATTATATAACTATAGTGTGTTAATTTTTTAAATACACCTCCAGAAAATGCAACTATCTCTGAAAGGAAATATTTCAACAAGAAACAAAGTATTTGAATTGGTTGTTTCTTGCCTTCAGACAGAAATTCTATTCTTTTCCATTTTTTCTATAGTATGGGTTATGTTGGATTATGTTCATATTTATTCAGAAATAAATATGATTAAATTTAGTCCTGAGTAAGTGTAGAATTGTATTCTGACTGATAACGTATAGTTAATAGCTGTTTAAATATGTTTTATTTTGACATTTGGTTTCTTGGAAACTTAACCCAAGAACCCTTCCGTTAGTAGATACATTAAACTGATTAGGTTTGGAATAGGGTGCAGATATACTTTTTGCTATGATGATTGCATTCTTTTCATTTTTTGCTTTTGTTATTTTGTTTCTTAGCTTTGCACCCTATCGAGGGTGGTTCCCTGTTATCTCCAGCCTTTGTTGTTCCAACTTCGTCTATTTCTATACATTTAATAGTTTAAAAACTCTTTGGGTCAAAGGTCATCATTCAACTACAGGGAAGGACTTAATTCTTGGGGTGGTTGCAGGTAATAAATTCCTATCAGAAGTCTGTTGAATTTGTGCCTAGTTGATGTGTATGCTCATATCTTTGGAAAGTCATTCATTTGATGTTAGCAATGGAATGTCATAATTCCTTCTTATGAAATATTTTAGTATAGTGTGGGTGATAAATATAACTGTGTATATAATATAAACTGAAAATGTACATTATGAATTTAACATTAGATGCTTTCCAAAGCAAGTCATCCAACTGAAATTTAAAAAGTTTGAGAAATCTGGTATTAATCTGATATTTGAGATATCTGATATTATTTATCCTGTGAAACACATATTCTTTATTAGCAATATTCCATTACTATTTCATGCAAGTTTATTTATTTATTTATTTATTTATTTATCTAACTATCAAATTTATATAGCCATCCATCTCACAAACATGACTCTGGGCAGCATACAATAAAGCGAACAGTTAAAAACAAATGTAAAACAACAATTAAAAATAATTAAACACAAATATAAATAAGACAGTGGGAGAATGGACCAGCATCCTACACACAGTGTAACCATCTTGTGGGCTACCTATTTTCATGGGATTCCTAAGCCTGCTGGAAGAACTCTGTTTTAAGGGATTTTCTGAAGGCCAGTAGGGTTGGGGCTAATCTTACCTCAGCAGGAATGATGTTCCAGAGGGTGAGTGCCATGGCACAAAAGGCCCGCCTCCTGGGTCCCATCAGATGGAACTTTTTAGCAGAAGGGACCTGAAATGTGACCCTCCTGCCAGATCTGATGGGATGGGTAGATGTAACTGGGGAGAAGTGGTCCCTCAAATAACCTGGTCCCATGCCTTGTAGGGCTTTAAAGGTCAAAACCAGCACCTTAAATTGAACCTGGAAGCAAACTGGCAACCAATGCACCCTGCAGAGCAAAGGTGCAACATGTGCCATTCTAGGGGCACACATAACTGCCCATGCCAGTGCATATTCCTTGATCTGTGTTATTTATTGTACTTTATTATTTATTCAAATTTGTGTTACTCTCTGCCACTTGATGTTGTCTGAGATAATGCTTTTTGAAGCCTTAATTTTATTTAACAGTTTAGCACATCTGATTTTCTCAGTGCATGATTCCATGATGAATAATGTGGGAAGTTTGCATCAAATTAGGAAAAGTATTTGGAAATAATTAGGTGTCTACCTGTTGTGAAAAGCAAACTTGCTTTTCATGCCTAGCTCAGTGAAATGTGTAATCATTGGTAAAGAACTAGAATAAATCAAGCTCCCTAAGCTTTCCATTTTTACATTTTTTCTCCCAAAATAACTTCAGTCTAGATTTTGCGAAGTATTTTAAATGTTACCTTTCCTATTTTATACATTACAGCTAAAATTAAGTTTAATTCTGATTTTAATTTTCTGAGGCCTCTTTTTACTTCATTTTGCTTCTGTTTCCTTAGGTATAGTGAATGTATTGCTGACTACTCCTCTCTGGGTAGTGAACACCCGTCTTAAACTCCAGGGGGCAAAATTTAGAAATGAAGATATTATACCAACCAATTACAAAGGCATTGCAGGTAGGTTTGTTTGGGGGTTTTTTTTGGTCCTCACTTATTGTAATTTATTTAAATTATGCTTTTTGGCCATAACTTTCTTTTTCAAACTCAGAATACCAACACATAGCCCCACCACTCTTGAGGCAGCATTCTGTCATAATTTTCTTTGCTCATCAAATATCCTGTGCTTTTATAAACTTGAAAAAGCCAGTTATGCTCTCAAGATCCTACAAGTTAAGTGTGAAAAGAGAATTGATACAAGAGTACAGTATCTCTCATGTCCTCCCCCACATGAGCTAGATTCTCCAGAAATCTCAGCTTTCATTATTGATTTTGTTAATGTATACTATTTATATATCACTTCTTTATTCTAGCAAGCGTAGAAGGAGAGAGAGATTGTTTACAAGTCTTTAGAACCTGAAAGTTGAGGTGGATTGTTTAACTAACATTCTGTCTGGTCATTTGTAAACAAACGAACCACTGGCCAGCTTTAACTTTCAATTTTTTTTTTTTTGCCAAGTGAATTAAGACATATAGCAGTGACTCATATACCAACTATATGAAGAAGGAAATTCCAGATTCATTTCTATTTTTTCTTTTTATTTAATTTGAGAAAAATGCAAAATATAAGCAAAATATAAAGGTATACTAAAAAAAAATTAATCAAAACAATCCTTAAACTTAAAAAAAATAATGGAAACCAAAAAAAGAAAATAGAAGGAGAAAAAAAAACCCAAACCAAAATAAAAAAGGGGGTGGGAAAGGTGAGGCAAAAGAGAGATTGCCTACAGAAATTGCTTGCTTTTCTTCTGCCCCCCCTCGCAGAGTAGGGAGATTGGAGAGGAGAGTAAGCTATTTGCGTAGCATGCCTGCAGCTCCCAGCCCTGGGCTGCCAGTGCGATCACATTGCTTTTGATGTGTAGAAGAGCAGACAGCTTACTCTCTTGCAATCCCTTCTTCTCCAGCCTCTTCGCTCTGCAAGGGGGGGTGGGAGAAAAGAATACAGGTCAGGCACAGGAAGTGTACTGACTGTAATGGCAATCATGTGACTGAGGGATGCTGCAAAGGTTGTAAATGGTCATAAATTGGCTGTAAAGTTATTTTTTCTGCACTGTCATAACTTTGAATGATCACTGAACGAATGGCTGATAAGTGAGGACTACCTGTACCTTTATCACATTAGGCAGAAAGGTAGAATATCCAAAATTACCAAAATATCATTGGCATATAAATATAATTTATAATTACACTCTACCAAAGTAATACCCTTAATGTCCAAAGATTGAATTACAGTAGTGGCCAAAGGTTCAAGGATTAATTAAATAGCAAGGATGAAAGTGGGCAGCCTGCCGAGTACTACATTGTAACTCAAAATATTCTGAAATAATTTGATTTGTTACAACACTTGGACGGAGTTACAACTAATAAATCTCAGTCCAGTGAACAAAGTCCTGTGGAAAATCATATCTACTAACACTTACTTTAAAAATTTAATCCAAACCAGATCAAAGGCTTTTTCTGCATCTAAAAATACTTGTACAGCAGAGTCCATTCCTTCCTTAGCTATATATCAATTAATAACCGTAAATTCTCTGATGCCTGACAATATTAGATTGTGAATTATAAGTGGTAAAACTTCTGCAACCACCTAACTATAATAATAATATAATATATTATAATAATATGTATAATAATAATATAGACCAATATTCTACTAGACATGAAAAATTGCCAGCTAAGCATAACTAAAGCCCTGGGGGGATTTAGCAGTAACTGTACACACTTAGATATAATTTATGTTAGATGTACATGACATAGTAGCAGAAGTGTTATTTCGCTAATTAATCAGTTAATGGTAGAAGCAAGTAAGTCAAAAAGTAATTTACTGCATGCCAAAGCTCTTTAAAGTCAAACTGAGAGGAAGTGGGTTAGTCTGCTCAGCTAAATGCTACTTATTTGATCAGCCCTGCATTGTTGAAAAAAAAGCTAACACTGCTAGGAGTAGTGTGGCTTAGAAATATAAATAAATCTTTGAGTTACGTTACAAACACAGAAAAAAATTGAATTGGTTCGTAAGACAATTCTTTTGTGCTGTAGTTTTGTCTGTCCAGTCTTAAGAACTCCCTTACCCTCCCTGTCACCTTGAATTTGATCACTCCAGCCAGCTAATGATTGTACATGATCAATACTGAACAATAGTGTAAATTCTTCTACAGTGGGTCCATACAAAATTCTTTGAATTCTAATCTAAATTACAAAGTAAACATAAAACTCTGCAAATAATGCTAAATTGCCAGACTGATATATAATTCTGCGGCCTCTGTAAGATTCTTATTTCCCTTATTTATCTTTCTAATCAGATGCTTTTCAGCAGATAATACGAGATGAAGGAATTTTGGCTTTGTGGAATGGTACTTTCCCTTCACTGCTGTTAGTATTTAACCCTGCCATACAATTCATGTTTTATGAAGGGCTTAAAAGGAAAATGTTAAAAAGACAACTGCAGGTGAGATTCCAAGGCTTATAAGAAAGGTGATGTTTAACTTTGATTTCAGAAATTGTTCCATTCAAATAAATTGTTACCATTTTGGGTTAGGGTTAGGATGGATTTGAAGTTTTCTAGATTTGTTTTTGCATCCAGATATTAATTTTTTTCATATTGTTTTAGCTGTCTTCACTGGATGCCTTTGCTATTGGAGCAATAGCCAAAGCAATTGCAACTACCCTCACTTATCCTATGCAGACAGTACAGTCAATTTTACGGGTATGTATGAATAATGCCAAATCACTTTCATTTCACAACCTAAGTTGTGAACTTTTATTCCATTTCATAGTTCTTAATTTGTTATTAGACAGACAAGAATATTTTTAACTGAAGCTAACAAAGCTTTTAAAAAGTTGTTTCTGAGACTTGCACAATTAGAATTTTGTGAATTAACAATAGCATATGGCTCCCATAATGGATGCTGTTTTTCTAAAAGTACATTAACCAACATGCTAGACTCCATGTATTACTGTTAGGCAGAATTTCCCCTTTGCCCCTCTGCATAAAATGTTGCATAACATTATGCTAATAGCGAGGTGAGCCTGGTAGCTTCATACTCTGTCTCTGTGTGAATCCCTTTTATTAACACTACAGCTCAAGTTATATGTCAAAATTTTACATAAGTAGACTTTCTTGATCAGTATGATATTTTTAGTGTGTGAGCAGTTTAATGGGCAAAGAACAAATGAGGACTGAACACTAGTTGAATTTATATGTATAGATAGAGGATACAGAGCAAGATGGCAACCTATTGACATCATCCTCTGTGAGCTCCTGCTTTATGTTCCTGCCTCTTTGGTTTAGTGTTGTTTAAGACTTATTAAAGTAAGCAAATGGTATCACTTGTACATCTGTAACTTCCTGGGAGAGAAAAAAAAGTAGGAGTTAGGCTTTGAGAAGAAAAGAGAAGAGAAAAGATTTCTGACTCGGGAGAATGGGGAAAAGGAAGAAGCATCACGGAGCCAGTCCTGGCTCACAGCACTCTTCCAAGACAGCCAAACACAAAAAATTATAACCTTTTTCGACAAAAAGAAAGAGTAAGTAAACTAACCCCATTTCCCAAATCTAATAAATTTGAGGCTCTTGAATGGGACCTTCAAACAGAAATAGAAAAACAGCAATTTGGAGCTTTCTTGTTTCTCTTAGAGACAGTTTAATAGACTGGTCCGATTCTACGCCAGCCCTTCCCCATAATTCTTCCGTCCATTCCATCAGCTCTCCAGTTTCTTCTAAAGAAAATAAGAATAAGATTGCAGACGGTAAGGACTGGGAGAAGCTGCTGTCATGGAATGACTCAACTGAATTCATGACAAAACAATGTTTTCTCACAGCACAAACTGACATTTTAGTGTTTGAGCAATTAGCTTCTGTTAAAAATAATCTGGATCTATTAAAAAGCAACTTTGAGGTTTTTGCACAAAAGCATACAGAATGATTCTCTGCCTTTGTTGAAGCCCAAGCCCAAACAAACAACCTAGTGAAGCAACATCCCTCAGGACTTAGTAACAATAAATCACAAGCGAATAAAGGTATCAATGTAACTGCTGACAGAGGTGTGCAAGCAGTTAAAGAAATTACCTCATCAAAGTTTACTTGCTCCTTGCAATTAAATCAGGTTGCTCTTCATATATCTTTGAACAGTCATAATTCCAGTCATTGGGTCTCCGAAAGAGCAATTGTAACTTCTCTGGGGCAGCTTCTTCGGTGGCACTATCGGCAAATAGATTTGTGCATAGCTGAGTGGCTCCCAAGCTTGCCTAGCAGTAAACGAATCTTACTGACTTTTAAGACTGACTTACTGACTCTACTATCCCTCACAAGCTGCTTAAAATGAAAACATTTCTTGCTACATTTCAGATTGTTTCAATCAGAGTTTTTCGCAATGGAGGGGTGACCCTTTGTTCAGCTCTGCTACTTTTGATCTATATAGTCTTCCAAATAATAAGCCTATTGTTAATAACAGTATTTCTTCTCCTGGTTTGTCCTTGGGAGTAAGGTAGATAGGCAGAATGAGGCCATATGATACCAATGAACCTGTACTTATCAGTGCCTTTGGAGCCTTGCCCAAGGTCAAGCAAGATAATACTTTACAAAGACTGGATAGTCTTAAAAGAACTCTGTTAGCTACGATTACTACTGCTGAGCCACTTATTGAGCTTGTGTCACCTAAAACTTTGCATCAACAGTTTTCCATGGGTCATGAGGAGTTGGCTGGAATACACCAGGCTTTTCCAGATGATCAGAGGATTGAGTCCCTAGTCCTTTGCACTGATCCTCTCAGGTCTTAGGCTCTCAGATCCTAGCAAGCCACTCTATGGAAGCTCAGCCATAAATCTTGTTGAGCCTTCCCACACTCAGTCTCCCAACTGAAGGCTACTTCCTAATCTCAAAGTGCATCAAACTCTGCATCAACTCAGCCAGTTCCATCTGTCTCTGCAACATCTCTGTTCCTGCAAAGCAGTTTTTTGAAACACCCACACCTGCTGTAATCAAAAACCATATGGGACTAACCAGATCATCAATGGAGGTTTTGGACACCAACTCCTATGATAATAGCTCAGTCTCCATTCTTTCTTGGACCATAGCTGGCTGGAAAGCAAAGAACACGGATGTCTCTTTTCTGAAATACATTAGCTTTTTTGATATTTTGTTGCTCCAGGAAACATAGGCCATGGATGGTATCTCTCTCTGGATATATTCCGTACACATTCAAGGCACTACCCAGTGTTAAAAATGGAAGACCCTCAGGAGGTTTGAGCATAATGGTCACTACAAAATTTAACATCTCTGTGACCGTTTTGGAGCCATGTGCCAGTATAGACCTAGCACTTTTGTTTCATCTTAAGCCACACAATATGTTATTCATTAATATATATCTTTCCCTGTTACACAGACATAATGAAGCTAATGGTATTTGGGATCATCTTGGCAACTGTATATCTAGTCTGCTTTGCCAGTACCCAGAAACATTAGTAATTATTGCTGGTGATTTAAATGCTAGTATTATGGAGTCAGATGCTTTTTACAAGCTCGTTTTAATTGGTCTCTCCCCTCAAATGAAGTAGTTTACCCTTTACAGGCTCAACAGTCTAAAGATAAACACTGTAATATGGCAAGCTTTTGACTGGCCCGGCATATAGATAGTCTGGAATTGATCATGCTAAATGGCTCTGATAGAGGAGACTTAAATGGGGAACTAGCTTTCTGGGGCTCCAAAGTCGCAAGTGTGGTTGATTATTTTATGGTTCTACGTATTTGCACTCATCTAATAACCTATTTCTATATAGGAAATCACCGGTATAGTGACCATTTCCAATTAATCTGCCGTTTGAACCCTAAAGTAACTATTAAGTTCCTAGCTGTAGCTCACCATCCCCCCAAGGCCACAACAAAAAGACATTCAGAATAAATGCTCTTTCAGAGTGGCAAAAAACCTGTCCACTCTGTTAAATTCAAAACCCTTCCTTCACCTCCGCTTCCAAATTTGTTTAGCAGACTCCTCTGAACAGGTATTATCACATTATCAGTCTATTATCCACACTGTCCAGGCCCCACTATCTAGAGTTTCATCAATTTGTTCTAGCCCCCTTCATATGAGATCCAAACCTTGGTTTGACACAGATTATTATAAAGCAAAGAAGGCCCTTACTGCAGTCTATACAGTGGAACCTCGGTTTACGAACTTAATTCGTTCCATGACTCTGGTCGCTACCCGAATTGGTCGCAACCCGAAGCAAATTTCCCCATAAGGTTCAATGTAATTACCGTTAATCCGTTCTGGCGGGGACAGGGAGGCGGCTATTGCTTGGAAGGAGAGTCCCCCTCCCTACGACCACGTGTCAGGGGCGGAAAATAGCCGCGGACCACGTGTCGGGCGGAAAAATGACCGTGGACCACATTTCAGGGGTGGAAAAATGGCCGCGGAGCACGTGTCGGGCAGAAAAATGGCTGCAGACCACGTGTCAGGGGCGGAAAATGGCCGCGGACCACGTGTCAGGGGCGGAAAATGGCCGCGGAGCACGTGTCGGGCAGAAAAATGGCTGCAGACCACGTGTCAGGGGCGGAAAATGGCCGCGGAGCACGTGTCGGGCAGAAAAATGGCTGCAGACCACGTGTCAGGGGCGGAAAATGGCCGCGGAGCACGTGTCGGGCAGAAAAATGGCTGCAGACCACGTGTCAGGGGCGGAAAATGGCCGCGGAGCACGTGTCGGGCAGAAAAATGGCTGCAGACCACGTGTCAGGGGCGGAAAAATGGCCACGGACCGTGTCACGGGAGGGAAAATGGCTGCGTATCCTGTTCGTACGCCAAGGCGGAGTTCGCAAACCAAAGCAAAATTTTGCGGCCGGAGCTGGTCGTAACCTGAAAAGTTCATTAACAGAAGCGTTTGTAACCCAAGGTTCCACTGTACTTTTCAATCTGACAACTCATTAGGTTCCTTTCAGTCACTTAGAGAGTGTAAGAAGTTTTGTAAAGCACTTTTAAAATCTAAGAAAGAACAAAGGCTGAAAGAGGATTGGGGGAGGCTAATTGCAGCAGTTTAAGAACCCTATTTGGTTCTGGCTCTCCTATGTTCTCCTATGGGTACTTGCTTAGGTCCCACCTGCCAAATACCTTCAGGGACATTTCAGTCCAGAACTATTAAATAATCCAGTGGTGGTTCCCCACCCAGTGATGACTTCTCCTGAGTGGCCTCCTGTGTCTATAACCAAGGCTAAGGATCTCATTGTACAACTGAAATCTGGGAAAGCTCCTGCAGTGATTTTAACCCTCCAGAGTTGCTTAAAAAAATAAAGATTGGTGGACCCGAGTGCTGGCTGTTCTTTTTACTTATATTAATAGCACAGCACGTTTTCCATCTGAGTGCAATGAGGCCATAGTTATCCCGCTCTATAAGAATCCAGGACATAGACTTAACCCTGCCAACTATAGGCTAACTAACTTGCTTAATATAATGAGCAAACTATATGCAAAGTATCTTATTTAAAACTGTTGGATTGGATCTAAAGTGAAAATATTCTTGTTGAGGAACAGGCGGGATTTAGAGAAGACTGTTCAACCTTAGGCCACTGTCTGGTTCTGTACCATTAAGCTGAAAAATACACCTTACCACCCAAAGGCATCCTTTTTGTGGATTTCAAATCAGCTTTTGATCTGATTCCAAGGGGGAGGCTATGGCAAAAGCATCAGGGATCCTCAATGCATAAAAGATTGTTCCTTCTTATCCAGATTCTTTATTCTAACACCTCGTTAGACTCAGATGTTCCCCTTGGGGGCACCTATCTGGAGCTGTTTCTACCAAAAGAGGGATAAGGCAAGAGTGTATTCTAGCCCCCTTTTTAATTTGTACATCAATTCAATAATTCAGGCTCTCTTATCTTTTAATCATCACTCTCCACTGTTAACAGATTGTGCAATTTCAGCCTTGCTATATGCAGACGATGTAGTAATTTTGTCAGTCTCCCAGGTGGGAATGAGAAGGGCATTGAGGGCATTGGATTCCTTTTGTCTAAAAGAACAACAAACAACTAAAGTGCTAGTGTTTGCATGACACAACAGTAGCTTACATAAATGGCAAACTAATGGGACCTCAATAGAGCAGGTAAGCACTTACAAATAACTTGGGGTACAGTTCCAGGCTTCCTTATCTTGGAGTACACATTTCTCTTATCGGGAAAGTGTGGCCCAACATAGCTCTGCAGCTGCCTTAAGATTCTTCTATTCAAAGGGGGCATATTTTATTCCTGCAGCTTGCATGTTTTATTCTCAGCTTATTTATGGTGTTCCGATTTGTATTTTTACAAAGTTTAATATCCTGGAAGCTGTCTAGTCCAAATTTATAAGATCAATATTTGCAGTTCTGAGATGCATCAAGAATGCTGTTTTACAGTTAGAGACAGGTTTGGTTTCTGTGGATGCCAGAGCCTGGATCTTAATTTCTGGTTGAAATTTATTTTTTGTGTGTGTGTGGATCTGGCTCCACTAGTTCTCAGAGGTCATTTTAAATCAACCTGGCTAACAAAAGCTAATAGCAAACTCTAGTCCTTAGGACTCTCTTTGGAAAGCCTCTGTCTATTAGGGTTTGAAAATGCCAGGAGTCATCTTAAACAATGTGACTGGGATATTGATTTTCAAACCAGTTTAAGCCTAGTATTCAACCCTGCAGTTTATGGATTCTTCTCAAACGGGCATGTGTCATCATCTTATCTCTCTTCAGTTCTAATTCTGTAATTTCATTGGGCCTTCACCTTGGCCAGGTTGGATGCATTACCCTCTGCAGTTCTGTGGGGGTGGTATAAACACATTCTTTTTCAGCAGTGCTTATGCCCATGTGGAGATGGCTCTGTGGAATCTGTAAACCATATGCTCCTTTGCTGTTCTCTTTACAGGGAATCTTGGAAGATAGATAGACAGGCAGACAGACATCCCATTTTAAAGAACTGCTCTGCTAGAGAGTACAATGTCTATCATTTACTGTGTCTATCTGACATATCTTTCCAGGTTGCTTGATTTTGTGCTACCATTTGTTGTATCTATCCTACAGATACAGGTTGAGGTTTACCACAGATTTTGGTGATTGTCACTGCTATCTGTGTTACAGTTACTATAATGTATTTTATGTAATTGTATTGCATTTTATGTCTTTTTTTAAGTTTTATTATTAATTACTGATTTATATATTTTATTGTTGTGCTTTCTGGCCCAAAGGCCGTAATAAAGGCTTGATTTGATTATGTATAGATAAGCTGTGTACAGGATTGTAAAAGCTTATTCACAATACTTAGTATTATTTGGTGCTTAACAACCAGAAAATGCCATAATCTTTGCCACACTTCTGTAAACAGAAATTAAGAGGAAAAAGTGCAGGAAAAAAAATGTTTATTCATTTTGTCTCCTTTTCAGTTTGGACATCACCGACTGAACCCTGAAAACAAGAGGTTAGGTAGTCTTAAAAATGTTCTCTACCTTCTTCAACAAAGAATAAAGTAAGCTTTGCATTTTTTAACTGGCTTCCATTTAACCCAATTGAATATACTTACTAGATTACTGTAAATTGGAGTCACTTTGATTGTAAATGGATAAATAGTTACACAGAGATATATTTATGAATAAAACATTTTATTTTAAAATTTGAGCATGAAAACACCAGTCCTCTCTAGAGATTTTTTGGTTCAGTTTTCATAGCCATTCCTTCCCAAATGTAATGTTACATTTAATTATATATTCTGTATGTATGTATGCATGTGTGTGTGTGTGTGTGTGTGTGTATGTATATCTTACTCCACCTTACCACCCAATAGGCATACAACAGGCATATTAAATTTTAATAATAGAACAAAAAAAGATCCTGGAACTATCCTATGATTCATATTATCTTAGAATTGGAAGGGACCAAAAAGGTCATCTGGTTCAACTTCCTGCTCAGTGCACAATCCATTAGAGCTCCTCTGAGAGATGACCATCCAGCCTCTGACTGAAGACCTCTAATGAAGGAGTTGTCACTACAGCATACGGAAGCCTGTTCTATTGGCTGACAGCTCATATAGTTTCTCCTTCTCTGAATATCACAGATACCAAAATAACACGATCACTTTTCTCCAAGGTGCCAATCACCTTCAAATCTTCAACCAATTTCTCCCTGTTGGTGAGGATTAAATCCAGGATATCAGACCTACTGTCTTCTGCTTTCTTATAAATTAAGTTGTCAGCAAGAGAGTAAAAGAATGTAATGGGTCTCTGACTCTTAGCAGAATTAAATTTTCAGCAGATGTCAGGATAATGGAAATCCCCCAACATCACTAATGCATGCCTGTTTGAACGACTGGTCTTCTGATACATAAAGACCTCATTTGTATCTTTTGACTACTCAGATGGTCTATAATAAACTCCCATAACTCCCATTTTTCTTTCTCTGTGTATTCATGCCCAAATACTTTCAACAGGATTTCCATGCTCCAGTTCTTGAATTTCTATGCAAGTATATTTTTATATATAGTGCAACATCCCCCACCCTTTTCACTGGGTCTGTTCTTTTAGAATAAATCATAACCTTCCAGTGCTATGTGATAGTCACGGGTATTATTCTACCAAGTCTCAGTGATGCTTATCACATGTTTGTTTTCCTGAATTAAGATCTCTAGTTCTCCCTGTTCATTAAAATATATCAACTCAATTTATTATGACCTGGCAGCATGCAGGAAAAGAATTATTTATAATATTTCTTCCCCCCAAGCAGCAGAAGACAGGATTAAGCCCTCTCTTTTCTGTATTTTATTAATTCTGATTTTTTAGCTGTCTGAGTGCTCAATTTGAGTAGAAAGGTGGGTTATAAATCTGACAATAAAATTGTAATAATAATTATTACAATCTATATACTGCCCAACTCCTAACAATTCTGGGATAATTACTTAAAACGTATCTATTGAAAATGTCAACATCTTTACCAAGAAGCAGCTACATCTAGATACCCAATGGAAGACAGAATACGCAGTTTATTTTGATCAGTTAGATAAAGCCAATGGGGGCATTAGTCTTATTGGCATCTGGTCAAAGAACACTCAGTTCAGCAGACACTGTGGGTCTATAAAATATACATTCAGCTCTTAATGAGCAAATATTTGTTGAGGAGTTTTTATCATTTATGTATAAAGGTTACAGTTGAACTAATCTTTGGACATCATCTCCTTAATCCTCAGTGATTCTTAACATTTGCATGCAAAGAGCATAAGAGACCAAATTTGAAGTATGTTTGCTATAGAAAGAAGTATCTGCATTTTCTTTTTTTAATAAATATTATGTTTAATATGTTTCTTTATAGGCGCTTTGGATTAGCAGGACTCTATAAAGGACTAGAGGCAAAGCTGCTCCAGACAGTCCTCACTGCTGCACTCATGTTCCTTGTCTACGAAAAACTTACTGCTGTTACTTTCACAGTCATGGGGTTAAAGCGTTCATTGAAGAACTAAAATATAGGACTATAAAGCATATAAAACTTAGGAAAAGAAAACCAGAATACCTGGCAAATAACTGGGTGCCATAAAGAGTTTTATCCCAAGGCCAAAATGTTATTTTACTATGCTTGTGTTTTCAGTTAAAACTTTAGAATGTACCTAAAAAGAAACTTGAAATATAATCTGGAAGTATCTACTCCCAGTATCTACTCTATTAGATGGTTCAGTTGTCTTTTTGGAAATTTGTTTTATATAAAATATTCCAGTATCTAGAAGGCAGCTCCTTTATTCAGTTCTATATGAAGATTAGGGTATTCTTTGATTTTTCATATATTTTAAAATACCTTTCCACTATCAATTCTCCATTTGCTGTCAGATTGTATTTCAAATATTTGGTGTTATATGATCATCTTAATAATCAAACCAATAAAGATTTCATAAAGAAGTCCTTAGAAGATAAGCTTTAATTGGCTAAGAATGTTTTAATTGCCTTGGAAGAATTGAGTTGTCTTATGCCTTCCTGTGCAGCAGTCTAAGAGTTTTGAAGAATGCATCTGAAATTGCTTTAAGCATCATTATATATCAAAATAGGTAACTATCAATCTTGAATTTATATGCTACCTCTCTGGTATAATTATGGGACAGTCGGAAATTTCAATTCAATTTTTTTAAATTGCATTTTTCCTTTTTGTTCCAGTCCAAGTGCATCCCATTAATTTTAACTGTTTAACTCACCTTCAAAGCATAGGTTTAAAAACTGGCCTATTTCAAGAAATCATACTTAAGATTTAATTATGCTATTGGTTTAAACAGTATTTTAAACAGTATTTATTTAGAGTTAATAAATAAAATCAGTTCTTGCAGCCATGCTGGAAGAAGAGAATGAAGATGAAAGGTGCAAGTTTATGATTCATTCTTATTGTAATAAACCATAGTACTGTACTATCTGTACATTAAATAAATGGACATGTACCCTAGTATTAAAACTACAATTAAATTTTGAAAAAAGGATCAACCTGCAGCAAATAATAAACTTTCCATATTGTAACTGTAATAACTGTCTGAAAAACTAAGAAGTATTCCAGAGTATTTATTATTACTTCAGACCCATAATTCTTAAATAAAGAATAAACCTGTTCTGAAAGTGATAAGTTATTCTATTTCTCAAAATGGATTCTTTGGACTGATTCTTACTTTTGATTGGCCAAATGTAGGTCACAGTAACCTTTAAATCTGCTTCCAAAGACAAACAAGGTTCGTTATGAATCACACAAATTATTATTATCCTATTGACATAGTGGGAGGGCTAAGCAGCAACAGTGGATCCTAAGAGCAATGGTGGCAGATACGGGAATAGGAACTAGTAAACTTGGCAGGGGGGGAAGGTAAACGTAATCCACAATGGAATGAGGAACGGTGGGGCTCTGAAGGTGTGAGGGAAGCCCATCCATCTAGAAGAAGGAACTAAATCAAACCCAGAAGAAGATAAAAGCAAACATCTGTACTGTTGTCAAGGAAACACTATAGACATAGCTTTTATGTTTAGATAAATTTGGGTGGAGATGATGAGAACTCTAGGTTGGAAGACACTCATGCAGTAACATGGGAAGAACATCAAGTTTCCACAGATCAATTTGGAGCTGAGGATGTGGCAAGATTAAAGTCTCAAGAAATGCTGGTCACTGACGTATGGAAATAATAGTTCCTTAATTGACAAGGATACATATACAGTAATTGAAAGAGAAATGTGAGGATAAATCAAGAAAAAACAAAATTGTCAAAGTGGAAATGAAACCATCTGTATGTTTTAGGAAGAACTGACATTGTGAAAACGAATTAGGCCAATTGAACTCATATGTTTACATGGTGTACTTATTTTGTTTATGAATTTATGTAAAGGAATGGAATGTCAGTGATACTTAAAAAGGGCTTGTCTTGTTTTCAGTGTTCTTCAAATGGTAGAAAAAGGAACAACAAAGTAATTGATTTTATATATTAACCAGTATGGAAGGCTTAGTTGAAGAAGTGGAATTAGCAGGAACAATAGGGGAATACAACTATGTAATGCTGGAGTTCTTGATTTTAAAAAGATGACTGCAGTCCAGATTTTTTTTTAATTCAAGAAAACAGATTTTAATACAGTCAATAGTAGATCAATGTTCATGGCAGGAGAAGCAAATGGAAAAAGGAGCCCAAGGTGAGAATTAATTTCCTTTGAAAAGGAGCTATTAATTGCTAGTTGCAGAAATTTTCAATGAGGGGGAAAAATGGAGGATAGTAGAAGAAGCCATGTAGCTACCCAAAAAGTTTAGCAAAGATAGGAAACAAAAAAGGATAAATAGGAGATACAAAGAGGATTCCTGTCACTAATGAATAGTTCATAAAAGTAGCCCAGAACTGTATTAGGAAAGTTAAAGCTCAGAATGCTAACAACAAAAAAGCCCTATTTAGATTTGTTGAAAAGAAAGGAAAAAAACTAGCATAAAGATGGCAAAATGCTAGCAGATAACAGAAAAGGCAGAGCTATACACTGTGTGCACAATTATTAGGCAAGTTGTATTTTTGAGGATGAATTCCATTATTGAACAACTACAG